TTCATTTTAATTTTGAATTTATAATACTTAATCTGGATAAAATTAAATTTGTCCAAATATGATTAAAAAAAAAAACCTAGTAATTGAAATCTTATGTCCCTAATTCATGAATTTTTTCTTAATATGTGAAATTAAAAAAAATTGTAATTGTATCAACATGACTTTTAAAAAAAGATAATAAAAAGATTACAAATTGAAAACAACAATAAAAGAAAATATAAAGAGCACTGCTATTAGCATGCCATAAATTATTTTGAACCCCTCAATTTTTGACCTTTTTTTTAAAATTATAATAATAACATCAAATAAAATTACTAAAAATGATATCATTAATTTTGGGACACCCCATCTCACAATTAAATCTACACACCCACTACATTATGAATTAGGGTTTATGAGAGCACCTACCTCCATCATCACCCATCCATCTTTCCTAAATCTCACCTTCAAAATCTATCTACCCTCAAAATCTTGAAAATCCTAATATTTTGAAATTTGATTTCTAATTTCTTTTGGTACAAGTATAACAATCGAGGAAGTGTGGACTCTTAATTAAATGCTGCCAAAATTGCATACTCAAATTTGTGAGACTTTTGAGCCCCGCTTTGCATTCTAACTTGGACTAAATAATCACATAAGGATGAAAAAGAGCTACAAAATCATAAAATGTCAAAAAAGTTGAGTTGGAATACAAAATTACCAAAATGACTCATATACAAACAAAAAGTCAAATCATCATCTCTGATTTATTTGCTCATCATTGAATCATTATCATCATCATATTTGCATTTCTATTATTTGCGATTTCTTTGGGTTTGTTCATCGTCGAATCACCATCACCATCACCATCATCTGCAATTTCTTTGATTGTGCTCGTCATCAAATCACCATCATCATTTGCAATTTATTTGAGTTTGGAGACTTTGAAACATGAGCAACTTTTAGAGTCGGATATAAAAAGTCTATCTAGTTTTCGGAGTCGGTAATTTTTTGTGAATTCCACTGCTTTCCCCAATTTTAGGTTGTTAATTTAACTAGGTTTTAGTTTCAATGAAATGGGTTTGGTTTGATTATTGATACTTGAGTCTTCTTTAAGTACTTGTCTCTGTTTCATTTTTTTTTGGGAATAATATTTGCAAGTTTAAGGGGTTGTTTGGGGTGGTATAAATAAGTACACTTTTTGTCTTTTTGGACTAAAAAGTTGAGAAAAAAATATGAATGTTTGGGTTAACTTTTTGACTTTTTATGAAAAAATGTGTATTAAAAATTGTATAAATAAGTGTATAAGAGAAGTTAGTGATGGAATAGCCCGTACAGTCGGCAGCGTAAGGGGTAGCGTGGTATAGTGTAAGGGAGGAGTTGATTCTCTCCTTTTCGGGGCATAAATTGGATGGTGTTGTCTGGCCCATGAAGGCCCACCACGGGTCCCGTTTTGCTAATTGGAACCGTTCAATGTGTAAAACTTGTTGATTACTATATGCTAAAATTACGTTGATCGGATATCGATAGCTATCTGATCGGATTAGTTTTTTTTTCAACCGTTACCTATAACACCATCTATTTTTTTATACAAAATTGATTTGATCATATAATTAGCGATATCCGACCAACGTGATTTTTTACAGGCATACAGTACTCAACGAGTTTTACACATTAAACGGTTCAGATTATCAAAATGGGACCCGTGATAGCCCCCATGGGCCGAACAACATAGTCCTTAAGCTTGCCTCCGCTTGTGTAATTTATCCTCACTAAAGTCAAGCACAGCCGTCTTCCGTCAGAGTGAGTTGTCTCACAATTTGTATGAAAATAATTTTTTTATATATTTTTTGGGTGAATAGTGATAACTTTTTAACTTTTTTAGTAGTTTTTGACTTTTTTGTAAGTTGCCAAACCAGTCCTAAATTTCATCAGTTTTTCTTTTTCTTTTTCCGTTCAATAAAGAATTGTTGAGTTGGGTTTTGGGCAATGGATTAGATTCAGATTTGTGGGCCTGAATCCATGTAAGTTGGATTCGGATGTTTGTGAGTGGATTTGCATAAGCATGTGGATGAAAGCAAGTTGGTTCGGATTTTATGAAGTCCAACATGAATTTGCTCGGTTTATAGGCCCAATTAAGTATTTGGTTAGAGTTTATTTGGCAAAAATAATTAATAAACATAAAATGGATTAAAATAATTAATAAACATAAAATGGATTAAAATAATTAATAAACATAAAATGGATTAAAATAATTAATAAACATAAAATGGATTAAAATAATTAATAAACATAAAATGGATTAAAATAATTAATAAACATAAAATGGATTAAAATAATTAATAAACATAAAATGGATTAAAATAATTAATAAACATAAAATGGATTAAAATAATTAATAAGATAAAATGTCACGATCAATCCGTAATTATTTCATTTTTTTCTTGTAACCATCAAATTAATTGTAAAAAAAAAATGAACTATTATATAGACCACAACTATTTTAACTTAAAATAATTAAAAAAGTCAAATAGTCAATTAAAATAATCAATTAAAATAGTTTATTTCCAAAGAGCTAAAATAAAGAGGAAATTTCCACCTCATTAGTGGTCCATTAGTGCTCCCAAATTAGTGGGATGTATCATTGTTGAATAAAGAGAGTGCCATTTTCAGACTTTGCTCTTAGGCTTTAATTGATTTGTATTAGAGTGTCTGATTGGACGAAATTGATAATTTAGGGATCAAATGAAAATCAGTGGTGTTACATGTATCAATTAGTATACACATTAGTGTACTAACTAGTATTATGATATTATTATTGACCACATTTATTATACAGCAATGATAGAGACCTCCTTTGTGGAGGACCCCCACAACCTCCTTTGTGATCCACACTATTCATGATGTGGACCCCACACATACATGAGTGGGCCCCACACATCATGAATGGTGTAGATCAGTAAGGGGGTTGTGGGGGTCCTCCACAAAGGGGGTCTCACTCATTTTTCATAAAATGATGCTACATTATTTGTTACAAATATTTAAAATTATATAAATGATGCTATATTATTTGTTATGTGTATATTAATTAGTACATATAGTATTATTGAACGAAAATTAATGACAGTTTAGAGAATAAAAGTAAAATTGTTTATTTATAATTATTTAATTTTTTAAAATAAAAAATTCAATATTCTGAGAAACCCTGATCAGGATTCAGAACGCCAACCACTCTCTCTCTCTCTCGGCTATCTTGCAGCACCACCACAGTTACACCTGGCACCACCATTGCGTTGCCGAGACCACAGCCAATTCAATCTCTCTCTTTTTGCCGGCGGCGGGTTTCCACTGAACTTTCCGTCGAAGACTGGTGATTTTATTGTTCTTGTTTTATTTCTAGTACTGTATCGTTCATTCTACGCATCTCCAACCCTTCATCAATTTTGTTCATAAAATGGATAAAACTCTGCTCCAACCATTTTATCGAATCTGTATCAAATCAAGAGAGAGGTAAAATATATATATTTTTTTCGCTAAATCAATGATGAACCAAATTCTTCACGAAATTCTAAACAATCGTACTCAAATTTGACGAAATTTGATAAAGATTTAAAGATTGGAGATAGTTTTCTTGCATATAAAAAAAAAAAGGGTTAAAACAAGTTGTAATTTTTCAAAAAGATTTGATGGAAAAAGAGAGTAAAGATTGTAATGTTTTCATATCAGATCAAACTTTTAACCAATTTTTGTACTCAAATTTGATGAAAAAAATAGAGTAAGGATTGGAGATATGCTCTTAAAAGATCAATTTTTACACGTGTATTGATGTGTTTTACGTATCTAATGTTTATGATTCTCATTTCCAACCCCTCCCCATATCTTCAAAAAATCATCTTTAATAGTTTCAACTGTTACTACTTGCTAGATTATACATTCACACTCTGTGCTTGGTTTGCTTGAAAAATTTACAAGCTTTAGCTCTGCAAAATTAAAAAAAAAAAATACATTTTTCTTCTTCTTCTGAGGATAAGAGTACATGTGGGTTAAAGGGTTTGTTGGTTGGGACTTGGCTGAATAGTGATTGCATCCATGGGTTGGTCTTTTGGATTTTATATGTATCTAGTCTGACTTAGCTCATCTCCACCCTTCTCTTTCTTGTAATCCGTTCTCCTCCGATTTCACTCTCTTTACATATATGTACACATAGACACTCAAATACAACTCACATTTGTATGTATTTACAGATCTGCATGCCTTATTTCATCATTCTAGGTCTTTTAGCCAACACTCTTATAAAATTGAGGGTTTTGGAACACAATGAGTGCTAAGAGCTAGAAAATTGATGATTAGAGATTGTGTCGCTGGCTATAAAGCACGGGTACTCCAAAAATAGTGCTGTACACGCACCGGGTACTTACCGGGTGCGGGTACGCGTACTAGTACGGCTGCACGCGTACCGGGTACGACAAAAAGTAGTCGTGTACGTCTGCCTCTGTTGGGTACGGCATAGGTACGGCTCGGGTACGGCATGGGTACGCCTTTGGTGCATTTTGGGTACGGCGGGACAGAAATCAATTTTTTTGGAGAATTGAGAGGGTACCGGAGCAATATTAAGAAAAATTAAAAAAAATAAAAATAAAAATGAAATTACGAGTGAATTTGTTTTGCCCTAATGTCATCGCTCTTGCCCTAATCTCTCATCAGTCGAGCAAAGAGACGACACAGCACCAAGAGGCGACATCGAAGCAAAGAGGCGACGGCGACCCAGCCATCCCTTCCGGCGACGGCGACGCAAGGAGTTCCGGTGAGTCTTCTTCTTCTTCGTCTTCATCTTCTTCTTCGCTTTCTTCTTAGCCTTCTTCTTCGCTGTTTCATCTTCCTTCCACCCTCGCCTTCTCTCATCTTCTTCGTTTCTTCTTCTTCATCTCATTTTTTTTTTTGCAGAGATCAGCAAGCATTATTTTCGATTCGTCCCCTGCACTGCATATCAGCCATACCTAGCAACTGGTCAGAATCTCTTCATCTCTATTTTTTTTGATTTTTTTTCTTGTTTCTTCTTTCCTCTTCAGAGAGGTATAATCTGATGTAGAACCAAAAAAAAATTAGAGAGGTATAGAACCAAATCATATTTAGAACAAAAAAAAAAAAAAAAAAATCAAAAAACCTCTTGGACCAAGTTTAGGTGCTCCTAAGCTCTGAAGAACAGCCTCAAGTTGCTGTAATGGAGTAAGGATGCCTTGTGCTATGAGTTGATGAAGAAATGGGAATTACTATGTTATGCGCACAGCAAACAGTTTACAACAGCACGAAAACAAACACAGTATGGCTAAAACTATTGGCATAGGAAATGGGCCAAAAGGGAGAAAAAAGAAGCAAGTGTATGGTTTTCTGGCTCAACAGAGAGGGGCCTTCAAACAAAGTGAAGAAGAGGGCCCAACATGGTGTTTTATAGTTAGTGACAAACCCAACAGTGCACATGCAAGCTTAAAAATACATGCAAAATAGGCCTAAAAAGAGGTTTAAACACAAAGGCAAAAAGGGAGCTTCAAAGAGAAAACATCCCTTGAATAAAATTGAAAGAGTGGGGTCAAATAATTCTATTTAAAGTTTTGGACCAGGCCCAAAAATACAAGCAACAAGCGGGCTAACAAAACATTGCACAAAAATAAGGCCAAAAGAGGGAATAAAGAGGCAAGTGAAAAAGGAGCTCATAAACTAGTGAAGATCCCTTCAACAATGTTGAAGAAGGACTCCAAAATAAGACATCTTACAGTGTTTATACCAAGCTCAAACACGTTTTAAAAATGAGGCCTAAAATATACTAGCAGAAAGAGTCAGACAAAGTGAGGTAAAGAAGCAAGTGTAAAAAGAAGCCTCAAAAGGGAGGAGGCCCCTTAACAACATGAAAAGGAGCTCAAAAATACATGCTATTTTCAGTTACGGGTGGAGCCCCAAAATATGCAAAAAGAGGAGCCAATATATGTGTCAAGAATAGGGGCAAAGAGAGGGATAGAAGACTTACCCTTGAGGAAGTCAATGCTTCAAACAACTTCTTGGACCAAGTTTGGGGAGCCCTTGGACCTCTGGAATGGCCTAGGGGGTTGAAGCTGCATGGAATGGAGTGTGGATTGGTTGGCTTTGGAGATGAGTAGAAAGGATGTAGGATTTGAGAGAGTTTGAGGGTTGGAGTGTGTAGAGAGAGAGAGATTACAATGTAGAGGCTTAAAACCAAACTTTCATTAACCCTTCAAAGGGAGATGGAGGGCCTGGAAAATAGGCAGATGTGGGAAACAAAAGGGGGGAAATGTTTTATCAAATTCCCCAAAAGGGCGCCCCCGGCATACACATCTGGGGGGAAACAAAATATCGGATTTGTAATGTCAAGGAGGAGGGGAGCAAGGCGGCCTGGATTTAAAGTTGCAGGTGGGCCAGCCGCCCTTCCCTGGCGGCCAGCCAAGGGTCAAAAGGCTCAAGATGTATTAGTGCCGGCCCCCAGATTGGTGGCCTCCCATGGTTGCACAACACACCATGTGGTCAAAAAACTGGAGAAGTAAAACGTGAGAAGAAAAGCCCAACTTTTTTGAAGGGGTTTCCAAAGGTCAACACAATTACTAGCGGCCATGTGATATTGGTGGCCTCCCATGTGTTGTACAGAACAAAATTATTGGTTTAGGGCTGGAAAAGTGGCCTTAGGTGGTCAACATTGGCTTTTCAAGTGAGAAAACGGGCGAACGGAGGGCGACTTGGAGGAAAAAACTGCGTTTGTCAGAACATTACTGGCCTTCCACACCCTTCTACGACCTTCTTAGCAGTGAAAATAAGGTGCTCCACAAAAATGAGCCCAAACCGATGCAAAATGAAGGTTCGGGGGCCGGAACGCGCAGCCTGAGGCCCCGAAAATGACTGTTAGGCACTGGAAGTGGTGTTTCGACCACGAAGTTGGTCTCTCGAGCACAGTGTCCCTCAAAGGGAGAAAATAAGATGCAGTTGCCAAAAAACCGTGGGCAAG